TTATAGAACTATATGTCTGTTTAATGGAATGTGCTCTCTCCATGTTTTTGAGAGAGTACCCAATGTGTGTTAACAGATATCTAATCTTCTAGCTGACCAAATCAGCTGAGGTCACTGGAGTTACTTCATCTGTATACATGGCCACTTCTTAATTAAAGCATTTAATTAAACTTTTTGATTTTCAAATACTGGACGGGCACCCCCGGGACGGAGAAGTTGCTCTTGGAGTGGCCACCGATCCATTTAAAAAAAAAAAAAAAAAATTATGTGTGTGTCTGTTCTGCCGCTGACTCCAGTAAAAGTGGGGTCAGTGGTACGCACATTTTCAGAAAAAGAGCAAACTTCTCTATTTCTGGGTCCCAAGAGGGCCAGTCTGGCGGTGTGTGACCCTGTATAGCCTTACACCCCTCAGCCCCCTCTTGGTCGCCAGCAGGCAGCTTGGTACGGTTCGAGGACCCGGTCATCCGCCTTCTCACGCATCCCCTGTCGCCAGTGGAGAAAGGTAAGTGTTGCACTGCACACTAACACCACTGTTCTCCACCTTGGTGCCCCACCTCGGGTACGTCTGTGGTCTTCTGGGCCTGGTTCGTAGAAGCAGAAAGAGCTTCCAACCGGTCCAGACTAGACTGTGACCATCAGACTCGGCTATCGTTCGGCTCCGCTCAAATCACGTCCTCCTTGAAGTCAGAAGCTTCTGAGGTCCCTTCATTCCACTATTTCTTCTGGCCTGCTCATTTGTGCTGCCAACGAGCCTCACAACAGCAATGGCCAGGGAGAGTAGAGACTCCATCCCCTTGCGGTCCAGCTGGGCAGGGACCACTTCGGGGCCGCACAGTTACATCTGTTTGCCTCTCTGGATTCGTCCCTCTGCCAGTTGTGTTATGTGTCTGAGCGGACAAACCCTTGGACAGACACTGGGTCCCAGCTGGCCCCGGGACGCCGCAGAAATGCGTTCCCCAGTGAGCCTTCTTAAAAAGCAGCTATGCGATTCATTGTCGCTGTGCGCCTGCTCAAATTCAGTGATTTTCTTCACACTCACGTGTTGAGCAGAGATGCTCCTGAACCTCATTGAAATTCATCACACTCAGGTGTTGAGCAGAGATGCTTCTGAAGCTCAGTGATCTTCACATGTAGTGTTGAGCAGTGCTCCTATCTTGTGTGCGCATGTCGCTTGCACCTACTGTGCTAAGTCAGGAGTGGAGCAGGTCTTGATAGTTACCCCTTATTGGCTCAACCAGACCTAGCTCCCCTCGACAGCCTTCCTGACTTCCCCTGAATACATTTCAGGGACGGGGCATGATGGCACCCGCGTTCAGACCCCTGGAGAGATTCCAGGCCGGTCCTAAAAGGTGGGCGCGGAGGTTCAGGTGGCTACCGCAGGAATATGTGGTAGTTACCATCACTTCTGCGAGCACCCCCTAAAAAGAGGAAGTTGTGCTTACACCAAATAGAAGTGGAACCTATTCGTTGAGTGAGTCTTCTCTCCGTGAGGAGATCCTGAGAGCGTTCTGTCATTTCAGTGCTCTCTTTCCTGCAAGATGGGATGGAGTAGGATGTTTTCCTCCACCCTCAAAAGGATGTTGCCTCTATTTTTCTTGACACACATCATGATGCAGAAGCATGGGGAGCACATTCTGATCGTCAGGCAACAAGGGAATCTTAAAAAGCCTTGCGCCCCTCTTTATCCTCTTGGGCCTTATCTCTGGTGCGACTGCACTGCAGAGACCGCCGCTGAGCCAAATGCAGGCAGTGGGTTAAAAATTCTGTTTTTAAAGAAACAGTTCTCCTGCTCACATGGTCTCTACTAGAGGGTAAGGACTTGCTCACTTTCGGTCAACTAGTTGAGCCTGGAATTCGGGCCGGCTATCTCTCACGAGATGAGACCCCGGCCTGGATATGTGGCCAAGGTTCCTTCCTCTCTCTTAAACTGGGACCAGGTGATGAGCCTGCAAGCGCTGCCCCGGCGGAGGCAGACCCAGCCCTGGCTTTCTCTGTCCATCTGCTTCATTGCGGTTATACGTGCACATAACGCATAACCTCAGACCAGCTCTTGTCTGTTAAGGAAATAAGCTAAGAGGGAAGGCTGTTTCCAAGCGAGGTTTGCCCACTGAATGGTGGCTGCCTTCATCTTGGTGAAAATCTCGAGATGCACATGTCCACTTAGGTGGTGAGCTCCTTTTAAGTGAGTGTGTGCTCCCGCCTAGGCGTTGACACGGAGTGCTTCGCTGACAGATATTCTACAGTTGGGGGCTGGGCGACACCTTAGTCGAATGCATTCATAGGGTACCCTATGAGAAGGACCAGCGCGCTCCTTCAGAAGATCTACGGCTTGCGTTGTACTAAAGGAGTGGGGGGCCATTGGAAATTGACTCAGCAGGAAAGCTCTCACTGTAATCCTCAGGTCACCAAGGCTATTAGCCAAAGTAGCCATTTTCTAGTGGCCACCAGAAAAGGAACTGGATCAGGGAATAGGCAAAAGGACTCCACCTCGTGTGAGGTACTCGAGTCTTGACCACAACACCGCGATGGTCATGTTCTCGCAGTGAGAACATGACGAATCCATGACGAATCCATGAACGCAACCTCAGCGTGCTTGACGCATACACAAGCAAGGCAACGATCGTGACCGCCAGCCAGCACCAGGTAATGACCGCAACGAGAAACACACTTGCACACTTGTACAAGCTGTTTTAGGGACATGTATCTCTGTCTGGTGCTGAAGCGCACAGGGGAAATGGATTTCAGTGCAGCCTGCTGTGTGCTTTCACACATTAATTGAAGATGCAACCTCTTAAGGGCTAAATGAACAGCAGACTCATTGAAGGCAACGCTCTGAAGAGCTGTGAAAACAGCTGTTTTGAAAGCTCTTTAGAAGATCGCGACCATCGCTGAAAGCGCCGTCACACCAACAAAGAGGTTTCTTTCCTGAACTGCTCGGCTCCGAAGCGAAAGGCTAATATGCGATGAATCCGCTTCCCAGTGTTGTGCCTGAACGCGTTCAACCCATATTTTGGGTTGAACGTGAACTGAACGTACTGTATTACTGCCTGATGAACGTTACTGTAAACTCATTCTGGTGTGTGTGAACCTACAGTTTAAACCTACCTCAGTTTAAAGGGTAACTAAACCCTAAACCAACTTTTTTTAGTTAATGATCTGTAAGAATGGGGCTTTATTAGTGCTGATCATTGATTCAAGTAACTTTTTTGACATTTGGGTATAAAGTGTTTTAATTCTACAATACATGGTGTAAAAATGTCTGAGTGCTACCCTCTTCAGTTTGAACGGTGGCTACTGCAGTTGAATTTTCCTATTGGATGTTTGCGGTGCTTCGTGACGTAAGCAGTGAGAGCTGACGTAAGCAGGTTCCAGCTCACCACGCCCTTGGTACGAGCTACCACGCCCTTGGCAGTATAAAAACCACCTTGTTTCGTCAAAACCACTGCGAGTCAAGAGTTCGAATTACGAGTATTTAAAACGATCAGGATAGAGTATTTTAGTACTATTTAGCATAGCATTTATATAGTTATTTAGATTATTTTGTGTAGCCTAGTTAGTTAGTTAGTAGCATAGTACAGTTAGGATAGCTTCAAGTTAGCATAGATTTATCTGTATTTAGTGCAGTGGTCAGGATGGTAACAGAATAGAGGTGGAAATGGGCTTCTCCACACAGCTCGCGCTGAAAAGCGACACAGTGCCAAACAGTGCCAAACACTGCTCCTCCTGCATGGACTCCACCACCGCAGCGGCGTCTTGATGTGAGTGATCATGTATATTTTAATCACAATTTATGGTTAGGCTAAAGTTAATCCTCTGGGGTCGACAAACGCGCGGCGCATTTTGCTGTTTTTTTTCACATAGCGGCAAAATATGAATATGAATATAGGCTATGCCTACAGAGAGCGCGCTATTGACATCAACTCGACAAAACTCATCAGATGCCGATCGCATGCTCGAATTGATATGGCCCTGTGTCCACAGACAATTCACCCTCCTCCACTTCAGGTGAAGGTGGGGGAGAAAAGTCCTCGACTTCAAATGACCGCTCTGTTGCAAAGCTACTTGCGTCACTCCAGCCACTCTCCATTTTAGAGTCTGACAGCAGCTGTCACTGCGGGTCTCAGGTGCATTTTAGACTCAAAGTAGATTGGTCTATCAAAGAGATCACCAATTCGTCGGACAGCTCCGACGTAACGTTGAACATGACTGACTGTGAAAGGGAAATAAAGTTATGAAACTTTGCCCACAGCCTAAACAATTTGGCAGGAAAAAATAATAGATTCATGGTTAGGGGACCAGATTTGTGAAAAATTATTATTCTGGCTCAGGATACTTGTCTGTCTCAAGTTCACATAATGCCGAGTTCAGACTGCACGATTTTCAAAATAATCGGGTCACTGTTGTTTTCACACTGCATGACTATTTGGGGTAACATTCAGTTGCTGCTGTGTTCACACTGCACGATGGATCGGCGACAGGAGGTTTCACACTGTATGACTTTACAAAAGAAAGAATCGCCGACAACTTCTGCCTGGTCCGCAAACTACGTTTCACAACCAAGCAAACGCGAGAAGTGATAGGAAATAACGGAAGTTCTCGCGCGACACTGAATTTGTTATTAAAAATGATAGCCTACAAATTGTCTGTGCACTGATTTGTAGCGAAAATGGGAAAAAAACAAAAACAGTTTATGCAGGAAATGGTTGGGAAGACGAGGGGAGCAAGGACTGTGTTTTGCAAAGAGAGTTGGGGGTAAATAAATAATTTAGCAAATGTCCTGCTGTTGCTGCTGGTCTTGCAAATGTTTGTGCTTTGTTTCTGTTTGATATAATTGTAAATATAGGCCTATTAAATTACTGATATTCTGGTCTACTGCTCTCTTTCACAAGAACACAAGTACAGACAAGAAAGCATATTGAATTAAACAGTTGTGTCTACTACAGTGTCTTTCAGATTTGTATTAAAACACCCTCTTTGAAATAATATATTTGTCTACTTACAAGCTGTGGGTTCTCTTTTGTGTCCAGTGTAGTTCCCTCAATGTAGCTCTCCACATACTTTAATAACAGACGAAATGAAAAGGATCTGAAATAATGGACTTTAGATCCTACAGAAATATATGCAGAGGAACAGGTGCTAACAGGTTCCCCAATTTTTTAGAGAAGAGAGTTCCGTTACATACATTGGTTTAGGTGAGCGGTTAGGGATGGGAAATAATTCATGAATTTAGCATTTCGGGTAAAAGCAGTTTAAAAATGCCCATCATGGTTTGAAATGCCAACTGATTGGGAAATGCCCATTTTGGTTCGTTAGGTTAGAGACATCAGTCTCATTCTTTCCCTTATAGTGGGATGAGTTACGGCAGATGAGGATGGACTTTTAAAGAAATGAGAAGCACCCCCTTGATGACAGTGACATTGATTATAACTGATCACCTGCATGGGCTCGAGCCGTGCACTCACTTGTCTATGTGCCTTGTTTCATGTGCGGGCGTGGTGTTTGAATTCGGTCTAGTTCAGCTTCGGTCTAGTTTGGCTTCCGTTCGGTGTCTGGATTCAGGCATATACTCCGCCTGTTTTTATTTTGTTGTGACCTGATTATTGGTTAATTTGCCCCACCTGTCCTCCCTCATTACCTGCTTTGTTGCTCTCCCTATTTATTCTCCTTGTGTTGGCAGTCATGTGCTGAAAACCATCAGCATGGCCAGCTATCATGAGATACCTTAAGAAACAGATTTATTTGATCGAATTTAAGAATAACCAAGAATATATATATAGTTTTTTTTTTAGTAGAAATCCGCATTGAAGCTCCACACCCCAAACAGTTGGTGGCGGTAATGCACTAAATTGGTATGCCAACCGCCAATAAAAGAAGAAGAAGAAGAAGAAGAAGAAGTCATGTGCTGGATCTTTGTTGAATGTTACCTCTTATGTCAAAGTCAAAGCCAAGCCAACCCAAGCCAAGCTTCTTGTTTTTTCCCTCTAGGTAGTTTTTGTTTGTGTTTTGTTCTTGTTTTTTATTAAATAAAAGCCCATCAACTCTGCACCTGAGTCCTCGCTGCTTTCATCACACCCATACCTGACAGATATAACATAATTTAATTAATAATATTATTATTGGTTATAATAATTAGTAATTATTATTAATACAGAATTATTGGCTACAGGCAGCATTAAACCATCAAAATTAGATGCTTATTTATTGCTTATGAATTTGCAAGATTGTCTATATCAATGCACATGCGGAATGCATATATCTTATCGAATCCCCGTTTTTTTTAAATTTGGAACCGGTTCTAAAATGGGTGAAGATACCCAAACCTAATTACAATTACAGAGCTGGTGGAGCTGGAGGGATCGAGGAATCCAGTGGAGTCGAGGGACAGCGGCAGGCCTGGAAGTCCGCAGTAGAGCCAGGGGGGCGATGGGGGAGATGGTCCTTCGACCATAATTGATGAAGCTGGTTCAGAGACTGTGGTTGCGCCGGTGGATCCAGAGCCAGGAACCCAGAAGGAGCAAGTGTAGAGGACGCAGCCAGATGACTGGGCGGAACAAACGAAGGAGGAAGGGCCAGGGAACAGATCAAAACCAGGGTGTTCAATAAGTTAGGCAAGGTGGGAGAGTGGGTTGGAGCCCAGTCTGGGGTATACAGGACAGACTTGGCAACAGGCTCTAGCTTCTGGAAGGACGTGGGGGCAGGTTATAGCTCTAGGACAGACTAGACCTCTGGTTGAGGGTCCGTGGAAAGCGTAGGCACTGGCTCTGGGTCCTTGGCGGTCATGGGCACTGACTCGTGATCCTCCTTCTCTACTACCATGAAGGCAGAACCACAGGTGGAAAGAACCCACTGGATTTATTTATAGAGGATCCCTTAAAGACCATCACCTTGTAGATGATTCTTTACCTGCATGCTGAGTCCTGCATGGTAGAATACACAGCGATCGATCTGGGTAGTGTAAAATGTGAGATAGATTCAGGAATTCACATGTGTGGTCCTCAAGGAATTGTTCCCTTAGTTCGGAGAGAAGGATTTGGACTGCTGGAAAATCCATTGCTTTTCTTTCAGTTATTCTGTAAGAGTATTCTGCATCTTTTGCTCGCTCAAGTTCTTTATTTCAAATAGGCAAGCGCGCTCATAATAGAACTGGCGCGGTCACGACAAGCTTGTTTTTTCCAGGAGCAGCATGATGAAAAAATGTTACTTCTTTTACAAATTTAAAATTTCTTTTTAGAACGCCACAAGCACACTGCAGGTCATGTGACAAGAACTAACCATTCAGCTTCACCCTTTTCGTAACAACATTGAAAGCAGGGATATCCAGGGGTGCATTTCCCGAAAGCATCGTTAGCCAACTATGGTCGCAACTTCAGTCATTATAAGCATAGTTCAACGAGTTGGTGTTTCCCGAAACCATCGTTCCAACGAACATTCGCAAACAGCATCGCAAAGTTGTGTGGTTGAAACGACAGCTCTCGAGTGACATGTGAAGTGACATGTGGACTCAATAAATCCGTATCTTGAGCAAAATAAGCAAGCTGACATTCAGTACAACCTGTGTCTTTTATTTAGAATACATACAAATGTCATTTACATCTGTTTTTGAAGAGTGCGCATGTGCGAATGTGCCCTACTATGTAAGAAGGAGCTTATGAAAGAATCTGGAAATAAAGCGAAATAACTGAAAAAAATGAGAAATAGTCCTCATGCTATGTCTGTAATTTATTTCAAAACATCTAACATTAATTCTATCTCAAACAGTTTAATTAAAAGAAGTTATTTGCTCCACCACGTGCGTGACGTTATTGTAAGGGGTATACAGTCAAAGACCCAGAACCAGATATGAAGAATGAAGACCCGGAGTCAGAATTATAAAAAATTAAAGAAAAGTTTTACTGAAGATAGTTTGCATTTTCATCAGCAGAAGTCAGCTTCAAGACTCACACAGGAGTTCGTAGGCCGCCCCGCTTACAGTTACAAAGATCACAGCAGTTATACCATTTCCAAGGTCTAAGCTACGTCATTGCTTACAGGTTGAATGATTCTCATTGGCTAAGAAACATTAAGAGCCTAAACAATTTAACACATGTGAGGAGATAGGGGTGCCTATCGCCATTAGTAAAGATAGTTGTCGTCCACTCATTGGATTTAGGTCTGTGGTGGCCTCGCAGGTTAGAGAAGGGCGCCGGGGTGTCTGGTCCGACCGTCCAGAACCTACATAGAATGTCATACGCACACACACACAAATAACAGACACTAGCAAATAACAGCTCCCATCAAGGCTGAAGAGAGTCTGAGCTCCTTATTATCAGTTAAGTATACCAAAACATACTGCTAAAACATTCACTCGTTTGGGAGAAAAACAGATCACTGGCATTTACTCCCAAGGAAGGAAATATACTGGAAAGAATACATTTTAATACAACAATTAAAGTTTGATAGTAACGCTCAATATAGCTTGACTATATGTCCAGCGAAGAATCATATGTGCCCACGCTGCCTTTAGGACCCTCTAACCTTTCTACTGATCCCAGAGAAAGAGACAAACGGCCTTGTGGGTTACGTGGCCTTCGTGTCCTGCGTGTACTACGTGCAATCTCAAAGTAAGATTGGGAGGCACCTAAAAGAAACTGGTTACTTGCATCCATGCATTTAAGAAAATATAATTTCACAGGCACAAGAATATAAAAATTATTATGTGATAATGAATATATTTGATTATTGATTTTTATAAAGGAAGTATATAACCATTCAAAATGATATATGATTATATATGTATTTGAAGAGGCAAGGGATTTTGACCAACCCTTCAGTCCCCCGTTTTAGACCAATGTGGGGTCCAATACCGCCACGTCTGGTCTAACCAGTGAGGTCACTACGGAAGGGAGGAGTGGTGACGCATGCTCCCCTGACGGGTCACACTTGTCTCTTCACCTCGTCACGGACATGCTGGATACTAAAAATTCCAGTCCCCATTAAGAGGCTCTCCCACCTTCCACTCACAACAGGACATCAATGTCATTCTTCCTCAGTTTATCAGTCAGGTTAAAATTTTATAAAACACATAACTGATTACGAAACAAGTACATATTTTTTCTTTGGAAGCCAGGCTAAATAAGCAAGCACTATTGCTGTATTCCTACTAGCATGGGCTAGATCCACAGTCACTACTCAGATCCTAAATAAAGACATTGTCTATAATCATGAATACCAGAATATATGCACTAGTTTTTAAAAAAAAAAAAATATTATGATTTCCAAATCCTTTTATTATAAACAAAGTTGGATGGTTAATCCATTATTTTCACTACCCCTTTTATAGACCCTTTAGGTTTAAAACACAATGGTTGTCTAACTAAAAATAAACAACAAACAATAAAATATTAATAATTAAGACCCATAATAATCGATGTAAGCACTTTAAGTCTTTACTGAAATCATCCTTCAGTTTACAGTCACATAGCATGTACCATTTTAATTGTATAACATCTTATACCCTTTTTTGTTTGTTTCAAAAAATAGAAATAAAATAAAACAAATTCACATCATCATTTCAGTCATTATTTTACCACTAAAATATAGGATCGTTCCCCATTCTGCTTAATAAAGCTTTTGTTCATTCCTTATCCTTATATCACTTGAATCCCTGTCAATCATACAATGTCTAACCCTAACCTTTTTCATACCATTTAAACTTAATTTGACTTCCATAAATCCTATCAGAAATTGTATTTTCATAACATACATTTTCTTCTACTATATTTCTTCCATCTTGCCCTACATGCCAGTTCCTTCTGCATCCGAGTCTCTCACCACTGTCAGCCTAGTGACACTTAAAGTTCCCTCGTTAGGGGAATCATGGTATTTTATTAATTCTTCAATACTCTTGTTTTCTTATCATTAACTTCAACTTTATTTTTCATTATAACTACTTCTCACAGTATTTGTCTCAGTTCCACTTATCTTTACAGTTTTACAGAAACCAAAATATTATGTTACTCAGATCCCAGCCCACAGCCATATAGCTGCTTTCTCTTTTTACCTTTATTAAATTGTAGTTTTCTTAGACATCTAA